GGCCTCTATGTGACCGAACTAGGAATAAATATGGCCTCTATTTGACTAATGAAGTGACCGACATTAGGTTTTATAGCGCCCCCTACCTCGGTGATGCTGGTCAGAGCAGAACCAGGGTTATAAAGCTGGACTGGATATTTTTTTTTCTTGTGGCTTCAGCGTGTAGGTGAACATAAAGCGGTGGATGTACATCAAACTGGAGGGGAGAGGGAGGAGGGGAGGTCGGGGGGGAGAGAAAGAGAGGTAGTGATAGAGACAGAGAGAGGGGAAAAGAGAGAGAATTACTGCAAAAGAAAGCTTCTGAAACATTCACAGTTTATTTTATAAAATCTTAGACCCCAGGAACATGGTGTTTTTTTTATTGATACAATTTTCCCATTAAAATTTAAAGAGTTTTACTTTCCAAACAACGTTTCAAATAACTTGGTTTAAAAAATAAATTAACATATAGTAGGAAAAACGAAAAAAAAAATATAAAAAGAACTCAGTGTAAATTGATACTTTATTCTCGGTTGTATATTTTTTAAAAAAACACACATAGCTTCCTTTTTCAAGTTTTTGTTTATTTACATGGCATAGAGCGGTGTCGTCGGATTGTTGAGTGTTCGACTGCTAACACAAAAGCCTATGAACTAAGGCAAACAACACAGTTATCACCCCTGATACTATTGAACTATGACAAACACACATTGTTATCACGTGCTTATAACGTTGTATTTAAATTATTAAAACACAATCCCACGAACTTCGAAAAATTCTAATTAAAATAATTTAATCAATCTGAGCTTCTTTGGATTTTTCTTGAATATTTTAATTCTAAATGTAACAAGTTTAAATAATTTATTTCATTTGAACTCCAGGTTCAAGTTACCGATATTTATGTAACGGGTATTCAAATTTGTGCAGCACTATTGAATGTTAGGAAATAGCAACTCCAGATCGAATTGCTTTCTGCCCTTTTATCAGCATAATATGGCTGTTTGTTTTCCTTTAGAGAATGCGGTCCAGTGTGCAGATGAAGTAGAGTTAATGTGTTTTTTAAACTTCAGCGTCTAAAGAGATTGTGTGGTCAGCACTCGGCCACATGTGTTTTACATTTCCCAACTCAGGACAGGTGCCTATTAAAGCTGAGAGAACTCAGATACGTATATATATATATATATATATATATATATATATATATATATATATATATATATATATATATATATATATATATATATATATGTATAAATACATATATACATATTAAATAAGTACACACACATATATATAGGCTTATACATTGAGTAGGAGTAAATATATATATATATATATATATATATATATATATATATATATATATATATTAATATATATATATATATATACATATATATATATACATTATATTTATATATATATACAGATATATATATATATATATATATATATATATATATATATATATATATATATATATTTATTTATTTATAACATAATGTAGTCGTGGAGTTTTTTGCACCTGGCTAAAATTGTCTGGAACTTGAGACCAGGTAGGTGGGATGCTAAAGGTGCCACTTATTCAAAGAGCAGATTTTGGGGGGGGGGGGGGGGGGAGGGTCTTGCCCTCTCAGACGTGGGGTGGCCGCCCTCTCGGGCATGAGCATCAAAAGACACCCGGGACCCCTCTGATGTTTGTATCTTCTTGTATACACTCCCGCCCGGGATTGAAATTTTAGATTGTTGATTCTGAAGTAACCTTGGCAACAAGGGGAGAGAATCCGGGCATATTGAGAGATAACTCCAATAAGCTTGACGGAGCGGTTTGTTGGTCTACAAATTCTGGCCTTATACTTCAAAGTGGAAAAAAAATATTTTCTAGGGCGGTATGTTGTAGTGACGAGCAATTCGATTACATCATAGACTTGAGATAGGGTAGGGATTGAGGTGGCGGGGTGTGGGGGGGGGGGGGTGATGAAGGGAGATATTTTTTTCTTATTGTTATTTCTTCACTCAAATGGCATTTATATAGACTAAAAATTCGAACGAAGAGTCTGAAAATATATGGTAAATATTTCGGTAATTATCTTGACATTGGTTTATTTAATGAGTAGAACTCGAAACACTTTGTGTCGATTTATGGAAGGTTTTTTTTTTTCAGCATACATAGTTTCACTGATCTCAAAGTAATAATTTATATTGTAAACTGACGCGTAGATATTTATCTGGGGGTAGAATGGGGAGGAGTACTGACAGGGGTAACTCTGACAAGGGGGAGGGGGTATTTCAAAGATACATTTACAACGCTTTCTTCTTCTTCTTGGTTCCTTTTTGTAATGTTGAACAGGATTCCAACAGAATTAAGTATTACTTGTCAACTTGTTATGCGCTATTATGCCATTGACTCCGATTTCATCCTGCCTTTTTTTTGGATTTAATTTCTTCCATAATTTTTGTCCATCAAAAAAAAATAAAAGAAACAACAAGACAATAGTTGTTTAGTTTTTAAGTTTCTCTCCCAGATGTGTTGCTGTCCGGAGCTATCGAGCCTCATCTTCCCGGGAGCGATACTCTATAACGTAGGGAGTTTTATTTTGTTATAAACATACAAGAATCACCGAACATTTCTAGGACAAAATTATGCTGCGAGAGGGTGAGATTTTAAGTAAAACTTTTTAAATTAATGAGTTATATAAGCTCACAGTGAAGAGGTACTGATTACTTACTCCAGTAATTAATTCCCAGCAATCATGACGAATATCTGTAATTAACGCTCAACAATCATGAAATATAATGAGAATCATTTCCCATCATTAATGACGTATATCCCTGCTCAATGTCCCAGCACTGATGATGTATTTCCGGAATTAATCAAAGTCGAACACTTTTCGACTTTTCATCGACCAAAAGAAAAGGTTTCATTATTGCTTCACAATCAAACTCGGTTATCAGATTTGCGCTTGAAAAAACGTCTGGAGAAAAAATACATCTTCGGTTCGTTGTTTTCGTTTAAATAGATAAAAATCACATGGAAAATACAGATTTTTTTTTATCATTCTAAAAGACTGCTGTAAGTGCCTTTCTACTGTAACACAAAAGTATCATTCTAAAAATGTTTTAGTGTAGTTACAAACTTAGATTTGGAAAGAATTTTCATTGTCCATTCGACATTTTATTTTCCAATTTCAACGCTCAAACGGCACTTTGTAAGGAGTACTTAACACTTCAGCGTTACATTTGGTAGCTTCGGATAACTTTTTATTCACGGGAGATTAGACAGCGGATTACGGGAAAGCCCTTACAAGGGAGGCGACTCTAAAGTTAAGCTCATGTTTAGAACTCAACTCGAATTTTTTTGTCTAATTTTTGTTCCGTGAATTTAACTTTTAGATTTACTTTTTAAAATTGTATTTTTCCCCCCATTAGAAACAGACGAAATTAATTTCGTCGCCAACATTTATAAATATTGATGATGTTATATCATCAACATTTATAAGTGTAGATGATGTCAATCATCAACATCATTGGCTGCTTGTTCTGTTTTATAAACAAGGAAAGTTTCAAGTACAACAAATGTTCCCATGATCCCCCCCCACGCCCATATCACTCTACCCTCCTGAAGTACCAAGGGCACTAGTATTAAGACACCCCGCCCCCTTTATCATACACACCCCAACCCGTCCCCTTCCCAATTTACAAGACATCCGTACCACCAACCTACCCCAAAAGTTATTCAACAACACCCCCCCCCCTCAATATTAAGATCAGTGATAGAATAGGATCTACCCCACTCATCCACCACCTATCCTCATCCCCTGTACATTTTACAATGCCGTACCAGTTAACCATCTTAACTCACCGCAAGCCCCCCCCCCCCCTCCACACACACACCCTTAATATCAAAGCCAGCGGTATTTAGAACCCATCCCCTTTCCCAATACTTAGCAGCGGTACCCGCAGCCTACCCTATACATTGACCCCCCCCCCAACCCAAACGAGACCTAGTGCACTCGTATTACACGCTTCATCTCTCCCCGAATGCTCGTGGATTAGCGACCATGTCAGCCAGGAAATACACTGCGCTAGACCATAATCCACCACACAAGATAGAAGCGCTGCTCGTCAGACAAAATGGACGCCGTGGGCTTTAAAAGTAAAACCTGATATTTTCCCACAAAAACAAAACACAACTAGAAAATTATATTACGCATCTTTTTTATAAAAATATTTTGTCAAAATTAAACTTTTAGAACTCTGTATGCATATCAAATGTAGGTACACGAATAATATAATCACACACACACATATATATATATATATATATATATCATGTGTAGCTAAACTAATCGAAGTGCTTAGATTAAACGTTAAGAAATATGAATAATTTAATTAGGTTTAAGAGCTTTTACACTGAAAGATGAATTGGGAAAATTGAATTTATTTTTTATCATTCTGATATACTTTATTTTATCTAAACTATCAGAACTGGAATTTAATTTCAAATGTTCTTAAAACACCGCTTTACAGAAATTATATTATGAAATAACGCTTTACTCTAAGGAAAAAGTTTCCGACGTTTTAAGTTTTATCATACGAAAGTTGGAATTCAATTTGTTAGAGATCTTCCACACTTTGAAACGAAATGTTCCTAGGGTTGGGTTAGGTCTAGTCTGGGTCATTGAATCTTTGGGGAGAGAAAAGGAAACAACGAAGAGGGGTTAGAGAGTATTAGGAAACGATTAACTTTATAGAGTTTGATGATGTGGGGTGAATCTCATTGCGAACCCCCTAGGGGTAAATTAAAATGAAGAAAAACAAGTAGACATCGGGTTTAAAGTGACTTTTAAATTTGGTTTTTTAATATAAAATCTTATCATGCGATATAAGATCACACCAAAAACATGCGAAGAGTAAAAAATCTTACAGTATGGAGGGAGGGGAAAAAGATCATACATGGAAGGATGGAGATTAAAGATCATTCAGGTGAGACTGGAGAAGTAAAAGATCATATAGTAGTAATGGGTGCAGGGTAAAAAGATCATAAACGATGGAGGAAAAAATAAAAGATCATTTACGGATGAGTAAAAGAACATAATTGACCGAGAAAAGGAAAATATCATTTACAGGTTAATAGTGGGGAAAATATCATAAACGACGATAAGAGGTTAAAGATCATTTATGGATTAAAAGTGAACAAAAGATCATAAATAAACCAAGGGAAAGGAAAAGATCGTTTACGGATGAATAGTGAGTAAAAGATTCTTTCGGTTCACACGAAGAGTAGAAGATCAAACAAATGGATGAAAGAGAATAATGTAGCGATTTAACGCGTAATGATATGAGTGATACAGTTCGTTTCTTGTTATTCACAAAACTTATTTCCAGTATAAACTCTCTTCCATAAAGGTCAGAGTTATGGTTATGGTTAGGGTCAGGTCTAAATGTGGTATTATGTAAGGATTAGGCTTATGGAAGAAGTACAAAATGACATCAAATCCAAAGGTTTAATTATGGAAACATTGCTAATCAAAAGCACCCTATATCCAAAAGCAAGCTTTTATTTTAAGTCAAACAAAATCTTTTGTTTCTAATTAATTGTTCGAGAAACTTAAAAAAAAAATGCAACATCTAGCGAAGTTTTATTCATTAAATCTAAACAAAAATACCTGTTAAAATATTTCGCTTAGAGACTTGTCAGTACATAAAAGCCCTCCGCCCAGATCTCGAGTGTTTCTCGTCCCTGGGGCTTCAACCTACGGGATTTCACGAGACTGACAACGCATTTTCCCGTCCAAGTTTTCTAACTTCAGACACATCGCTCTAATGGCCTATTACTTTTATCTTTATTTATGCCTCTTTTTTTGACGTTGTTTGCAGACGGAGGTGTTAAGATCGGAGTGTGGTTTTAAAAGCTCCATAATAGTCTTACTGTAAAGTTCTATAAAAGTCTTACCGTAAAGTTCTATGATAATCTTGTAAACGCTGAAAAGTTGTGTAATGGACTTGCTGTAATGTAATCTGGCTGTAAAGCTATACAATAACCTTCCTCTAAACCACTATTGAATTCTTCCTCTAAATTACTATTAAAGTCGTACAGTAAAGCTCTATGATGATTTTGTTGTAAAGTGGTGAACAGATTGAGTATAGATCTTGCTCGAATAAAAACTGGCTGTCCATTCCTACGTACACTGTAAACTGCTCCAAAGTCCTTTCCTGCGTCCTTTACTACGTCCACTCCTACGTCCACTCCTACGTCCTTTACTACGTCCACTCCTACGTCCTAACTTACGTCCTTTACTACGTCCAATCCTACGTCCAATCCTACGTCCACTCCTACGTCCAGTCCTACGTCCACTCCTACGTCCACTCCTACGTCAACTCCTTTGTCCACTCCTACGTCCTCTCCTACGTCCACTCCTACGTCCACTCCTACGTCTTAACTTATGTCCTTTCCTACGTCCACTCCTACGTCCACTCCTACGTCCACTCCTACGTCCACTCCTACGTCCACTCCTACGTCCACTCCTACGTCCACTCCTACGTCCTTTACTACGTCCACTCCTACGTCCTAACTTACGTCCTTTACTACGTCCACTCCTACGTCAACTCCTACGTCCAGTCCTACGTCCACTCCTACGTCCACTCCTACGTCCACTCCTTTGTCCACTCCTACGTCCTCTTCTACGTCCACTCCTACGTCCACTCCTACGTCTTAACTTACGTCCTTTCCTACGTCCACTCCTACGTCCACTCCTACGTCCACTCCTACGTCCTTTCCTACGTCCACTATTAAGTCCACTCCTACGTCTACTCCTACGTCCACTATTAAGTCCACTCCTACGTCCACTCTAAAGCCTACTCCCATTCCGCACCAAACATGTCAAATGGACACCTTAAAACACTGCCCACCATTAAACACGGGACACACGGTTATTTCACTTAATCAATATTTCCCCTCGGCATTCCATGAACAAGGCTTCAGTTACTTATAATAAACTTTTTCCTTCGCTCTGTCTTGAATTATTTATAGATTTGTTTGCAGATTTCTCCTGGCGTTCTGTTTAGTGCATAAGCAGCAGTTTTTGCACTCAATTTTACATTTATTTTTAATTTTCTAAACTTCCTTTCAGATACTTGATACGATTAAAAAAAAAGAATCTGTAGATGGTTAAGGATAATAAATAAACGAATATAAATTTCAAGTTACACATTTTAAGACGTAACTACTACTACAAATACCCTAGCAATTACTTATAACAGTATATCATTTTTTTTAATTTAATAGTTTGTGTTAAATCAAATAAATGTAGGTCATATTCAGAAGAAAAGTGACGTTTAGAAAAAAAAAATAGTTTTTTTCTTTTAAACTGCACTCTTCCCTAGGAAATGGATATATGTTATATATGTTTAAATTTGAACCAATTTCTAAATTGGGGCTATAACAGAAATCGAATTTTTTTTAGTTTTAAAATAATTAAATTAAACTTTTAAAAAAGCCTTAGATTCCTTTTTATTGTAATACTTTTTCTCGTTCGTTTCGATCTAGAAGTTCTCGTGTTCTCGTGTGGATAAAAAAACAACCTAAAACAAAAAACTTTTTTTTTTCAAAATATTATTTATAGGAGCCGATCCGCGTGGGCAGATAAACTCCAAGAAACAGCAGACTTGCCGCAACTGGCCGAGTTAATATCATCAGGCAAATATGATTTGACCAGATGGAAAGGGGCGTCCGCGGAGTGAAAGAAGGAAAATTGACACCTTCTAAAAATAGACACAGGATAACGTGATCGTGATGCGGAGGGTGATACAACGCCGGAGGTAAAAAAATATTTCTGTGTTTGTTTTTAATCAGAGCCTGGATCAGAAATATCAACATACACCAAAAACACCAACAAACACCAACAAACACCGACAAATACCCAATCGAAGCCTAGATCACAAACATCAAAAACACCAACAAACACCAACAAACACCAACAAACACCAACATACACAAACGAACACCAAGAAACACCAAGAAACACCTAGAAAAACCATCAAACACCACCAAACACCACCAAGCACCACCAAACAAAACCAACATCAACAAACACCAATAGACACCAATAGACACCAACATCAACAAACACAAACACAAACACACACAACACCACACACCAACACACATCAACAAACACCAACAAACACCAAAAAACACCAACCAACAACGACAAACACCAATACACCAACATACACCAACAGACACCAACATACACCAACGAACATTAACACACTTTAACAAACACCAACAAACATCAACATACACCAACAAACACCAACAAACACCAACAAACACCAACAAACACCAACAAACACCAACACACCAACAAACACCAACACACACCAACAAACACCAACAAACACCCAATCATCCCCCGGCGCCGGCAGAAGCGTTAAGATCAAACGACTGACAACTCATTCCTCCGAGTGCAGCCTCCCCCCCCCCCCCCCATCCCCCGTCCATCGACTGACCGTACCGTCGGAGATGATAGACCCCGGCATATTGACCATGCTCTGTGTTTCCGGTCCGCTCCTGGTTGGTCCGCCGTATTGAGCAAATCGAATATGGCTGCAAGTCTATACGTGCTAATAAACACATCATCAACATCAAATTCTGTCTGACAGACTTTCTTGGTCGGGCTGGGATTTTTTTTTCTGTCTGGGTAAGACGACGTGGTGAAGTTTGATGCATCGATTTTTGTTGTTGTTTCAAGAAAGTGGGTGCTATATTTTTGCTTGTGCTAAATTATTCGCCTTTAAGAGTGTGAGTTTTGAATAACATATTTAGTATGACGTATGCAATTTCGACATGTTTTGGCATATAAATCCAGGTATAGAGTACTAACAGTCTCGAGTTCGAACCCCCGGGCAGATGATGTTCGATAGCTGGGAATAGCAACTTTTTTAGGAGATAACTCTAAAATCTTGGTTGGAAAAATGGGAAGCAAATAAAAAAAAAAGAAAAGCAGGCTGAAATCGAAGTCAACGGCCTGTATGGCGCATATCAAGTGGACAACTTAATTGTGTTGTAGGAAATTGATTGAAGCGTGATAAATGACACACTGATAAAATACCATGTAACAGTTAATGCGTTAGTGTTAGGGTGTAAAATACTGACAAAGTCTTTTTTTAGCAGTAAGTACATTAAGGTGGATGGGAAAAAAAAAAGAATTATAACACAAATATGTAGATATCATTTAGTTTGAAACACTGAGACAATTGTATGTAGCGGGCACTGAGTTCGAGATCTTAAAAACTGACACCATCTTATGAAACAAACACTAATTTATTGTGAAATCAAAAACACTGACACAATCTTATAAAACAGAAAACTTATTGTGAAGTTATAACACTGAATGTAGCCTACAGCAGTGGCGTAGCTACCGTAAGCAAGGCATAGGGCCCAAGGCAAATAGGGGCCCTTTTTCGAAAGTTTGAGGGGGGGTGCAAATCGAAAGTCTGAGGAGGGGGGTGCAAATCGAAAGTTCTTCCCGGTCGCCGGGAAGGGTCGCTACGCCTCTGAGGGGCCCACTAACACTTTTTGCATAGGGGCCCAAAAATCCTACTGTGAGCTATTTTCAGGGTTCAAACGCCCGCAATGTACCAACGAGTTAGTGCGAGTTGTAAAACAGTGACACAATTTTATGAATCTAACAATGAGTTTGATTAAAGAATAAAACACCGAAACAAAGCGTGCATCAATCAAATGGGATATTAAACTAATGTTTCATTATTTGTTTATTAAAACTCCACTAATTAAATACAAGAGATATCCTATATTCAGATATGATTCCTAATGGAGTTTAATTGGATTAATATTCTTAATGTTTTTATCTGGTTTCAATTTTTCCTTGGCCGAGCAGCGTCTCTGTAAAGTTTCACAAATTGAATTCATCCCAGGCCATTGTGATGTATCAATTTCCGAAGCAATTAATTTTTTCCTTAGTTCGTCTTTCTAAATAACAATGGTTTATTTATACACGTTAATGTTGTTCTGTAGCGGGTTTGAAGATGTCGACACGTTTAGCTCTAGGTGAGCTAAAGGTAAGCTCTAGGTGAGCTAAAGGTAACTTCAAGGTAAGCTCCAGGTTAGTTAAAGGTAACTTCTAGGTAAGCTCTTGGTAAGCTAAAGGTAAGCTGTAGGTAAGCTAAAGGTAACTTATAGATAAGTTCTTTGTAAGCTAAAGGTAAGATGTAGGTAAGCTAAAGGTAAGCTGTAGGTATGCTAAAGGTAAGCTGTAGGTAAGCTAAAGTTAACTTCTAGGCATACTTTAGTTTAGCTAAAGCTAAGCTGTGGTAAGCTAAAGGTAACTTATAGGTACGCTCTAGGTGAGCTAAAGTTAAGCTCTTGTTATATTATAAGTATCGAGACTGCTGTAACAAAACCAGCATCCGAAACAGTAGCCTACTATGCACCAGTGCTGAATTACAACCCTTACCACAAACTAACAACCACAACCAACTCTAAGATAAATCCACAAACACCTTAATAACCACAAACAACACTAACAACAACAAACACCATTACTAACTCCTACCACCACTAACAAACCCAACCACTACAACCAACCCTAACCAACCCCACAGCCGCCATGCACGTATAATTATCTATAAACTAATAAACAAGCACTTTACGAGACCATTAATTCGTCGAGCGAGGAATAAAAGCAAACAAAAATGTTGTTCAAAATGAATGCGCAAAACCACGTTTAGAATTTTAAATTCTCAAACAACAATATAACTAAATTAGACTAAACTCAAAAAATATTTCAATAACATTAAATTGATCTGTAAAATAACAGTCTTTATCACATTGTTGGGCGAACTAGCAGTGTGATAAATAAATCAGTATTATCTAGTTGATGAGCAGTTCAACTAATAATACCTCCAGATTATTAATAACGTAATTAAACATTGATCAGAAAATCTTCAGAACCACATTATTGTAAAATAATTCACATGTGCATTAATAAGATTTAAAATTTTAATGGGGGCTGTATTGATATAAATCACTTTATCAAAATAATACTTTTTGTTTCCAATTTAATGAAAATAATTGCAATGTTTGTGAAAAACAGAAAACAATAACATCCATTATGTATTGCATAAATATTTAGAATAAGCATCAACGGCCTTTCGGGAGCACGAATAAGAATTAAAAAATATATATACGACTTTTATTAAACCCTACTTTTATTGATGCTCTGAAAAGAATATGAATTTGTTTTATTTTAAAATAATAATCAAAGCTATTTACATTTCTACAAAATACTATTTTTTTTGTGTTGAAAATATTTGGATATGGACAGATATATATCATAATATTTATAGGTTTACAAAAGATTTTATTGAGGATAAGTAATATAGTGTACTGGAATATCAACCGGTACTCAATAGAGATAAAAATTGATGATATTTATTGTAATCTACAATGAATTACAAGCTTTTAAATAGTAAATTTATTTAATTCTGTTGTGTAAATAAATAAAAGCTTTTTATTATATACGTTAATATACAGGGCCTGCCTATATTTTTATCTTATTTTGTGTTATAAAATAATAAATCGGCTTCCTAAAAAAGATTAGACCACAGGTGCTGAGAGAAAACCGATCATTATTTGTGTCAGGTACGAAAAACATTCGGAGTAGCAAAACAATTTTTTAGAAATGTTTTATTTTAAGAATCGATGTTATAAATGTGTTATCCATGACGGACGAAACAGAAGCAACGGAAATTACGTGAAATAAAAGCTAG